GATACCTCCACTAGTAAGGTCAGTTCCATCTTTCCTTATTCTATCATAGAACAGAAGGTAGGCACTCCACCATCTCTTCTGACGCCTTTGATGACTCCTACACAATAACACATGACAATCACATGATACACGTACATTAGGAATTATTAATCACTTATTAAATTAAATATTTAATTATGATGAACTCTTTACAAATAGTCAATTCCCTGTACATTAAAAGTTACCCATACAATAATCTCATGTGCATTAGTCAGGTGACAGACTGACAGTTACAGTTACAGTTACAAAATGACGTACTTCTTCAGTACATGGTCATACACCTCTCCAGTGTAATCACCTCCAAACGTTTGATTCCTAAACTCCTAAACAAAGGAACATTAATTCAAGCTACTTCTAACAATGCTTATTAATTTATTAATTATTTTAGTGTACATGTACATGTACATACTTCCTCGTCCTCCATTTTAGCTTCAGATACATCTCCATCATCAAACTTGAACCACTTAGCTTGATCAGACCCTGGAGGCCTAATAATAATAATAAATTAATTAGTTAATTGGTGGGTGTGTTCAACTCCACCCACTTGACGTTAATAAAAGAGTAGTAGTGTCCTCCACTAGCCTGCCCACTGTGTACCAGTATCCCCCTTAGTCTGTACTTAGTACTCATTGAAGGATCATCATTATCAGCTCCTTCACCCTTCACTCCTCCTCCTCCTCCTCCTCCTCCTTCTTTCTTAGTGTCAGTGTTGGTGGTAGTGAATGGTATCCTCTCACCTGTAGAGGGGTAAGGTTGTATAGAGGATACATGAGGATATATAAATGTACATACATGTATTTATGTTAGGGTTTAATGAAGGGTTGGATTGTGTGTCAATTTGCTGTTTGCTTCAAAATGAATGTAAATAAACTGGCCTCAGTGTCACTGGATGATTTATAACTTTTTAATATGTACAGCATAAACATATGTGTACATGTATATGTACAGTATAAACATGTATAATTAACAGGAGAGAGATAGATGCGGTTTCATTGCTTGTATGTACATGTATATGTGTATTATTATTATTAAGTGTATATGTGTATTATTATTAAGTGTATATGTGTATTATTATTATTAAGTGTATATGTGTATTATTATTAAGTGTATATGTGTATTATTATTAGGTGTATATGTGTATTATTATTATTAAGTGTATATGTGTATTATTATTAAGTGTATATGTGTATTATTATTATTAAGTGTATATGTGTATTATTATTAAGTGTATATGTGTATTATTATTAAGTGTATATGTGTATTATTATTATTAAGTGTATATGTGTATTATTATTAAGTGTATATGTGTATTATTATTAGGTGTATATGTGTATTATTATTATTATGTGTTAATGTGTATTATTATTAAGTGTATATGTGTATTATTATTAAGTGTATATGTGTATTATTATTAGGTGTATATGTGTATTATTATTATTAAGTGTATATGTGTATTATTATTAAGTGTATATGTGTATTATTATTATTAAGTGTATATGTGTATTATTATTAAGTGTATATGTGTATTATTATTATTAAGTGTATATGTGTATTATTATTAAGTGTATATGTGTATTATTATTAGGTGTATATGTGTATTATTATTATTATGTGTTAATGTGTATTCAGTACCTTCTATTTCAGCCAGTCCTGCTGCAGTGTACGGTGATAGATCAAACTCTTTTGGAAACTCAAAATAATCATTGAATTTAATAGCCATCTCTCTATTAGGAAGAAAGGAAAATTAATAAATAAATAAATAATGACATAAATAAGACAATACAGTATACATTATATACATGTACTATTGCTATACCTCTCCCAGTCATAGTCAAATCTCTTCAGTTGAATGACCAGCACTTGAGGTAACTTATTGATACACATCCTCTTAACAGTATCAACCTATTAATAAACATTAATAACTATTAATAACCATTCATAACTACCAATAACTACCAATATAACTATTATTAATAACTCCACACTGACCTCTTTGTTACATATCTCACACCTGTAAGCATTAGCTCCCTCCAGTAGGTCTCCTTTCACATATGAATCAAGAGACTTAAACAGGTTATGATGTAACCTGATGTCAACATTAATAGCAGTGAAGGGCTCCTCACGAGAAAACCTAATCAATAATAATAATAATAAATAATATTATCCATTTCTTTTGAATAAATGTTAACAAGAACATAAAATGCTACATAATTCAAAATTACATTATTTCAGCTGTATCAACAATACAGTGTACCTGTCTAAATAATTATGTACATTAACAACTACCAGCTGCTGATAATAAGACCACAGTTGACAAAAATATAACTTAAATTTAACAAGTAATTAAGGATTAAGATCAACGATAAGTGGACAGTTTCACTAAGGACATTTACCAGGAGGTTAATATGTCCCTGAAGGCTTTTGAATTATTTTCAAATGTTAGCTGCAGTAATCTGATTGGCCAGTTAAAACTCTGCATGGAAGTGTATTATAATATGTACTAGCTGTAGACTAATGCAACAACTACAATCATATTCTTAACAAGAGGAAGTGTCAATCAATGATTACTGATAAAGAAAGTGAAGTATGTCAGTACTGCTAGTGAATGGCA